AGACATGGCTTGACGGCGGAAAGCACAATCACAATTTCAAGCACCCTAAGTGTGACAACATATGTGCCTTCGACTTCGGCTGCCGCTGCAGTGGTTCCTGTGTCTTTGGCTCCGTCACCAGTATTGACAGGGGCCGCAACCACTCAAAGGGCTGTTACCCTTGACGGTACATCGACCCTGACGACATACTTAGGATCTACCTCTGCCTCTGGTGCTGTCAACGCTGATGCTGATGCTGATTCCTCCACTGTTGCCGTGCCGCTGTCGAGCTACACTCCCCAGCCCTTCCCTCCTCTTCCCTCCTCAAGCCCTACAGACACAGACAACTATTCTGCCCAATCCCCTTCATCATCCATCCCGTTCTCTTCAACCTCCACAGCTACAGTCACAGTCACGATCTCTCCCTCTGCCTCTCTACCTACATCACTGCCACCAGCGAATGCGCCAGGAGACCAGGCACTAACGTTCGCTGTTCTTCCAATTGCAGATACTTCACCAAGGCCTACCCCAGCACCAACAGTTTCAACAGATCACTCCGTGTTCCGACTCAGGGCACGGAACCCCTTTATTTGGCTAGGCTGGACCGCGCAGCAGGCAGAAGCAACCCAGGGTGTTTCTTCCTCATGACCTGAGCGATGACCATTGGGAAGCTGGACCTCGATATGAAAACATTTACTGTACATAGCCGGATCGCATCATTATGGACAGCAAAGGAAGAGCCGGGCTTCTCTTGCTTGGCTTTGTAACGAATCAGCGCAAGGGGAAAAGGGTTATCTACGGTACCCAGTCCAGACAAACGCTTGACATCTCCTGCTATTTAGAGGAGAAGGTCGAAATCGACCAGGCCTGGAGCTTGGAAATGGGGGTTATGGTGATCTCAGCCACATTCTTCATGATCTACTGCATTTTGCACGGCTTCCACACGGCTGAACTAGTTGGGAATGGATGCGTCGACCTGCCGCTGTATGGTTGGGCGCAGGAACCCGGACCAGGTTGGAGGCCATATTTTTTCGATTCTTGCATGTCATGTCCGTACATATGAGACACATCACACACAATTCACATGCCACTTTCACCATTCATCTAGATTGACAAGTGTCTGCGTCTTTTCAAAGTGTTTTCTGCGGTGTAGGCCCGAGGAATGGAAAGGGGCACATTGCCCATTATAGGATGGGAAAGCCTTATCGTGCCTATTGTGTTGGTAGAGAGTCTCAACGGCCGCAACTATTATCTAAGAGGGATCTGCATTGAGCACAGACGATGAGAGGGAAAGGGAGAAAGGAATGTGCACGGAAAGGAAAGAAGAATAGTCGTTCGTGTACGTGTACGTGTATTCATTAATATTAATTAGGTATTGGTGCTGTACATTTCTTAAGTAACCAACCAAGCTTCAGATGATACGGTGTTCCAGGTATGAGAATGTAGTGATTGAATGGAGAGGTGAGAGGTCTGCCCGTTCTTCCCAGCCCCTTTGCCCTAGCTCGCTGTCCCTTATGCCTGGTGCCTGACCTGACCTGACCTGACCTGACCCGAAACGCCGAGGAGGTAACCGAGTACTCAGTAGGTCTAATGACAATTCGATCAGGAGAGCAAGTAACACGCCACTCGCCCGCACCGAGTACCAAGTACTTTGTAGACGCCACCATGTGATAATCGTGGATATTGTTGACATTCTATCGTGCCGAAGATTTTGTTATACAAATTAAGATCGCCAGAGGCCTCCTTGCATAAGGGTGGTGTCTGGCAAAAGCCTAGGATGACTTGATCGGTTTCGTGTATTTGAGCTCCGTGCCCCAGACGTAGTCCCAGAATTTGGATGTCACACCGAACCTGAGAACCATGTTAGCCCATATGTACATTTTATATCGATAGAGAACATGACTTGGTCGCTGTTGCGCAAACTTACCCAAGCTCGAAGTTCTGGTAGTGATGTGCCAGATGATACTTCTTCAAATCCCTCACGTAGGCGGGCAGTTGATGGTGATGCAGCCAGTAATGCGTGCAGTCGTAGCAGACGTAGCCGAAGATGCCACCGCTGAAGACTGTGACGGCGACGTACCAATTGTACCAAAAGACAAAATGGGCGAGTTTGTAGAAGGGTGTTGCCAGAATGAGGAACAGTGTCGGCGGCATGACAAGCCGATATTTGTCCATGGGCAGGTAATGATGGATCCCGTGAAGGAGGAAATGCAGGGTGAGGAAGACGGAGTGATCAGGGAGATAGTCGTCAATGTGGAACAGAAAGCGGTGCAGGAGGTATTCCACCAGCGTCCACAAAAAGAGACCCAGGCACCAGTATGCAACACCCACGGCTGGACTTTCAAGGTTGCTGATTCCGAGGACAGACCCGTAGATGACTGGAGGCAGCCATAGGATCGGCACCACGTACCAGGCCGTCTTGCTGAGCGGTTCAAGGAAGTTCCCAAACAATGGCGCAGAGTCACCACCCCGGTAGTGTCGCGGTCGATGGACTTGTTCGAGGTAGAATTCCTTTGAGAACTTGCCAAAGATCATCTGCGGGAAAAGTGGCCGATTCAAATCCAGGAACTTGTGTGTCTTCCAATCCTGATCCAGATCCGTCTCTTTGGAGAGATCGTCTTCAGACGACATGCCGGTTGACGCGTAGAGCGGTCGGGAGGGGAGGTTCTCGGCTTGCACACCATTTGCTTTTAGTTCTTCGTTCCCTTCGATTGTCGCAGGCAGCGGGACCACTTGGTCTGGACGTGAGGAGTCTACTGCGGTCTTAAGAACGGCATCGGTGGGTACGAAACCAATCAGGCTCTCCTCCAGGATCTCATATGCGGTCTCGGTGTGGAAATGTGAATCTTCATCTTCCAAAATCTTCTTGACATCTTTTCCCCCAAATTCAAGTATCAACTCGCCGCCACCAGGGTGATCGTCGATAAAGTCCGTCACATCAAAGACACGTTCACCGATCGTCACGTAGCACGACTTCCGACTATTATGCTGTTCCACCTCGGCACGGGTTATTGTAGGGAGCGTCTTGCCCGGCATGTCGAAGTACGGAGAGAGAGGATTGAGGAGAGATTGCTGGCTAGGAGGAACGAGGGACGACGAAAGCGTGGAGTGCACGCAGAACTAGAAGAGAGACCTGGGAGTCACAGGCACCAAGGGGAGAGATGCTGACATGAAGCGGACTGCTTGGAATTACAAGTACTTTGTAGGGAAATTTATCAATGTTTGCAGTTTGCGGCTTTTTGCCTCCTGTCAATCTCTTGGTTGGCGGGATCCAGGGGGCTTTGTTCGTGTCTCCAGCGCCCAATGACAGAATCCCGCCGCCTTCCGCTGCCGGAGCCAAGATGGCGGATGGGCACTCGTTGTCACTCCACCAGCATCACCCGTTGATGCCGACATGACGCCAACTAGATTACATAGCCACGTGATGATGATCCACGTGTTATTCACTTAACGCGTCCACTACGGTGGGCTTTTCGATGACGAAGTGCAGTTGGATTTTCACAGATGTATCGATACACTCAGGAGGAGGAGGCAACACCAATGTCTGCCTAATCTCGACAACCATAAATTCTTCAGAAGAAGCCTCGCTCATCTTGTTATCGGACTTGCCATCCTGCAATCTGTGGTACGGTGCACATAATGAAACGGAAGTTTTCTGCCGAAGAGCCCTCTTCCTCCCAGACTCCCATTGATACGGAACCCGATAACACCTCTTCAGCAAAGGAGGAGACAGTCGACCCCGATGATCTCTGTCCCATCTGCCATTGTCTCATTTACAAACCAATCCGAACCAGATGCAACCATACACTTTGCCAGTCGTGTATGGCCTTGTGGGCGGATGTGTCAGTAACATCCCAGTTAACCGCGGTTGGACTCGACGATGAGGTGGCAGTCATGCTGCCTCACGAGATCGAAACCCGTTGCCCCATGTGTCGGACGTTTACCATTTCAACCCTAGACCCGACCAGAGAAAGAGCCCTCCAGCGATTATATCCCGTCTCCTACCAGGCACGTGAGGCCGAGTCCCAAACAGCCGAGGAAGATGGTTCTGCCTCAACCATTGAGACGCTAACCGTTCATATCGGAAACGAACATACAGAAATCAGAGCCGAACAGGGGTCGAATAATAAGCACCATTGGAAGTTCTTTATTCGACCCTCGAGAACTGACTTGATTGAAGAGGTCCAAGTGTTTCTAGTAAGTCCCATTCTGTCTTGCAACCGGGATTCACCAACATGTGACATCAGCATCCTACTTTCAGAAATCCAATCGTCGTTCTTGAATGGCCTCCATACGAGATCAGGCGTCTTGGATGGGGCTATTTTACAATTTACGCCAATATCATCTTAAAGCCTGGCTACAGCTGGGTGAGTCCTGAGGCGGAAGGCACCCGCGACGGCGCACCAAAGGGCAAGTTACCGCTAGAATGGACATTGGACTTCAATGGCCGTGGATCGCAAGCACGGATCAGACTTAAAGTCAGAAAGGAGAAGGAAGGCCAAGAAGCGGAATTAGACATTCAAAGAGAACACGTACGCAGATCTTACGCCCGACAACGAGAAGCAGATCCTGATTGGGAAGAAACGTGACTGGTTAGTGCAATACAAGCCCGAAAAGAACGTGCGTGCTATGATCCGATTCCTTGTGTCCTTTGTTGGGACAATGCGTCTGCGGCCTTGTGTCGCAACAGACGGGCAAAGGCAGTGGCTTCTTGTCTACTGACAGTTCGCCAACTTCTTTTTCCCAAGTCATTGTCCCTTTATCCACCATTGTTCCTATTTACCTGCCGCATTGTCCTTTTGTGTCAGATTCACATCATAGCTGATTTTGATACAATCCAACTAACATCCCTATCCAGAATTATCTCTAAATGTCACTTTCCTTTTTCCAGTCTTAACCGCCTTATATCTATTATGGTTTCCCGTCGTTGCAGTACTACGTAACAGCGTCCGAACATAGAATCCAGTTTGCGCAACAAAGGAGTCTGTCATATATCTGACAAGGCTATCCTCTTCTTCAAGATGTTGGTGCGAAACTCGGGCACACAACCAGGTGCTGTGATTCCGCTTCGGATATCCTCGCTTTCTAATGGCTCTACACAATCTCCTTCACAATGCATCAACACGGACTTTGTCATGTGGCCAGCCCCTGATGGGTGGTACACTCCTGCCCGAGTTTCTTTGCACGAGGACGAGGAGCCCTTCCCAAAATTCCAAGACCCAACCAAATCTCTGATAATCGAACGAACTCTACTTCTGGACACCCTTCGCTCTCGCGCAACATTCGTGTTACATCATGCAAGAGACCATGAGCGGTTGAGGTTCGAAGCTCTCTTGTCCCGCGTCGCTCCGTCTGGTCATATAAAACATGATCAAGATTTATCGTATATCAGAGCATCTATTCCAGGAATCCTCGCCTTGGGAGAGAGCTTCCGCGCGCAGAGAAGACTTGGCAACAAAGGCAAGTTGCCCGCAAGCAGAGGATTCCAGACTAACCTTCAGTCGAGTAGCGGAGAATTACAGCCGAAAGATATCTTGAAGGAGAAGATGAAAGAGCGAAGCCGCAAAGGGATACGGCAGGCCTTGATCTATGAAAAGGACTTTCGCATGGGACTTCTCGACCAGCGGACCAATGAAGGCGTGCACCAGCGAGGCCGATCGATCAAGCGCACCCATCCTGGCGCATTTGATCGAGCTAAGGTGACCACTGCACTGGTAATGCTCCGCCAGACTTTCCCGACCCGTTACGAGGCCATTCCTCTTGAGCAACCCAAGACCAGTGTGATCTCAGAGGACCAGAAGTCGAGTGGCAAGCTCAACGTGGAAAAGGTAGGTCAACAGGAGCTTTCTCGAGGTGAGAGAGCCGTTTCCGATGCCAATAACGCTGAAGGGCACTCAGGATCTTGGAAGTCTACAGATTCGTTTGAATCGGTCAAGAAGAAAGCTTCCTCCGTCTTCCGAGGTTTGGTGAACAAAGTCAGCCGAGGACGGTTCTCGAATGAGAAAAGTAAGGCATCGGGCTCTTCGCCGCCCCATGCACACACTGCCAGCCAGCACAAAGTCAGCGGTCACGTGGCTGAGCTCGACAGTTTCCCAGTTGCTCTGAAGATAAATGACACTGTTGCGGCATCGAGCAATTCGTCTGAACCTACCTGCGCGGAAGCTGATTCGTCCACAGAAAGAAGAAAACCTCAAACCAAGGAGGTCGTCAACGAAGCAGGAATAGTACGTAAGAGAGAAAATCGTGTCTCCAGAAGATCGGGGCATCCGAATGCATCGACCGTGGCCAGAACACCGTCCGCTCAAAGATCATCTGCAAAGCCCTCGTCTACAGGAATCACCGGTAACAATGAAGCTCGAGCGACCACCGCCCGGTTGCACCGTCCAGCCCTCCGACCACGCATGATCTCAGTCAAGGCAAGGAACAGAAACACCTTACACAAGCGCCGGCGATCACAAAACTTTGCGGCAAGTAAGGATCAGGCGCCGCAAAAGGCGAGTGCGTTGAATCTGAACCAAGCATCGTCCCGTTGGCACGTCGAGGTGAAGGCTCCAAATCGCCAAACTCTCCGCAAGAGCGAGGACAAAGTACTGAGAGTGATGGAAAAGGTGGATCAGAAGGTCTTTGGCGAGAATAACACTCGTTGATCCGGCTTGAAGACCTCTCGATAAGGTTGAACAAGGCGGCAACAATGAGTCGGGGTGCTAGGTAGTGTGGGAGTACCTTGACATTGCAGTTGTAGAGATCAGCGACTGGAGATAGTAACAGGAAACAAGGTAAGTTGGCAATATTTCCGTTACAAGACGTGACTAAAGACCCTTTAAATCTTAGTATCAGCAAAGTCGTTGTGGACGGTGACATCTCTGTGAGTGGCGGCCATCAAGCGAGGAGGCAGCCCCTGACCACGTAGCCTCGTCGATGACTAAGTCTATTTGCAGGTCAGCCTCCCTGCCTAGCAAGTTGCGCCCTTCTCATTGACAACATGTTAGGTCTTGTAGGAATCGACGTCAGTCACAAGGCCCAAGAAAAAGAAATCAAGACTCTAAATGTACCAAACTATGTCTTCACAACCAATGTCAGGTGTTTTTGCCAGCTTCGATTACCAGGGTTGCCTGGACATAGCCGCACCCACTCAACGTCATCCATATTCTATAGTCACCTTCTTCGGCCTCTGGATCGGTTACAAAGAAGCAATTGCGGGGTTACAACACACTCTGAACCTGGAGGAGTCCGCGGAGTCTCGGGGCGCGGCTTATACGGAGTCTGGAGAATATGTGACTTGGATCCACCTCTGAGCATTGAATCTCCAATTCTCAATTTCTCGAAGCGAGTGGCATTTCGTACATCTATCAACTCTTTCCATGAGCACGCACGATATATTTGGACGCGTGGTATCACGCGGTTCTTGTTTCAAATAGACAGCTAAGCTGCTGTGCCTCCCTTGCTTTTTGGTGACGATGATAACACACTCATCGAGGCAAATATTGTGGTGACAATATGGCCTCTCAAGGTTTTTTGGATGGAGACCTCACATCCGTTTCCATTTCCTCTGACTATTGAACTTGCTAATGTCCAGTCCTGGTCTCCATAGACGGCCATTGAAGGTCAGGATCCGCTCCGGGAAGTGGCCTTTTAGCCGTACGATTCAAATGGAACTGTAGCCTCCAGGTACATTGCAACGTCATGAAGCTGGAGAAGATCGACATCATCCTGCATCGCGGTGCTGATGACCGTGCGGACTCAAAAGGCGGAGTACCCCAGGCTTTTGACCCATGGCCACACTGGATCAGGAGGTGCAGAAGAACTCAAAATGGGTCGGTTCTGTGCTTGTGCTCTGATATTGCTTCGTTGCACCCTTCTTGCTGCCCAATCTGTCCAAAACCTCGGTGTTTCGTGCATTGCCAGCTCTCAGGAATGCGGGCCACGGGGAGGTATCGGCGACGGGGCTCATCCTGTATTGAGCCCTCAATCGTTCATTACCGACGCTCTCATCTCTACAGTCCCCAATACGACTCGTCAACTGGCAAGTGGTCCAGCACCGGTCCGCTTGTCAGCATCGCCGAGCAGCTCATCATCATGTCCCCCAAGGCGCAACATCATCATTGACTCTGCCAACGGTGCACAACAGGAAATGGTGGGATTCGGACACGCCTGGACTGACAGCGCCGTCAGCGTGTTCAACACCCTGGACAACGCCACACTGTCTCGTGTCCTGGAGGATCTTTTCGGGCAAAGTGGCAACAACATGGGCTTCATGCGGCATACCATTGGCTCCTCAGACCTGTCAGGAGAGCAATATACCTACGACGACAACGGGCCCAGCTTCAACGAAGGAGAACCTGACCTCGACCTGTCGAATTTCAGCCTTGGACCGCACGGCACCGGACAGGCCAAGATGATCGCGCAAATGGGCACAGTCAAGGGCGATGTCTTCCTCTTCGGTTCGCCGTGGTCATATCCCGGATGGACAAAATACAATGATCTGTTCATTGCACCAAATCTCAACGTGGACGGCGGCGGAAGCTACAACATCCTCAACAACAGCTTCAATCCGGTGTACATCCCGCAAATGGTGGAATATTTCTCAAAGTACGTCGATGCGTTTCACGACATGGGTGTTCAAGTCAATGGCATCACGCCGATGAACGAACCGCTCAACTATCAAGGCGGGTATCCTTGCATGCTTCTCGACCCGGTCGATGCAGCAAGCTTGATTGCCCAGGGTCTTGGTCAGGCGATGCATGATCGAGGTGTTATCATCATGGCATACGTAAGTCTCTCTTCTTATTTCTTTGTCCTTGCAAAGTTTCAATTTTTAGCTTCGATCCCAAGGCCAACTCTAGTCTCACGTTGCTTGATATCAGGACCACAATACCGATCAGCCCGTCTATCCTGCACGCGTCATCCAAGGTACAGGCGGCGAGGGCTCTCTTACCGATGCCGCAGCCTGGCATTGCTATGCGGGCCCTGTTGCAAACTACAGCGTGATGTCGGATTTCCACTATGCCTTCCCCAACACCCTGCAATTCATGACAGAGTGTTCCAACTATCTGCCACAAAGTGGTAGCTGGAACTTTGAAGTGGCCGCGAATTTCATTCCGCCAGTGACGCACGGCGCCTCGGCCGCGGCGATGTGGGTCATGGCGACAGACCAGGACTACGGTCCGCATTCACCGTATGGCGGATGTGCCGGTTGCCAGGGGAGCGTGATTGTGAATTCCTCGACGCAATACACCCTCACAAACGATTACTACATGGTGGGCCAGTTTTCGCGCTTCGTCCGTCGAGGCAGCGTCAACTATCGCATCCTGGGCGACGGGAACGAAGGCGACGCCAGACAGGACAACCAGTTCTACACCATGGCGGTGCGCAACCCCGACTCGAGCTGGGCAGTGGTCATGATGAACAACATCGGCAGTGACCAGGATGTAGTGCTCGGGTTCAACAACGGAGAGACGGACGTGTGGCAGGGGACGGTGCCAAATGCGACGGTGGTGACGTGGTTGCTCCCAGCCCAAGGTGTCGGCGCCGAGCCTCCTGCTCCTGATGTTCCTGCCGCTCCCTTGACTAATGTATCGGTATCGATATCGGTATCTGCGACAGCAACGGGGGGTGAACCGGGAGGAGTGTGTCCGACAACGAGCACTTCGTCGAGCTCCAGCTCATCCAGCAGCAGCACGAGTACCCTCGAATTGGTACCAAACACGACGCATACGATTGAATCGCCTGCGCCCGCTGGTGGCAACGGCACCGCTACCGCCTGACGGATGAGGGGAACGTGGTAGAAAATTACATGGATTGTGTTGGGAGGGTGTGTCTGTCTGTCGGATATGCGGTGTATGTCGATTGGGGAGGTTTTATGTAGTGGCTTTAAATAGAAGCACGGGTTGTGCTTGTACCTGACTTGGTGAGTTGAGGTACGAGGTACACAAGGGTCTGTGTTGTGCAGCAAGATAATTTAGGTACCTAATAGCCGTGCCGAATCCGGGGCTAGGCACTCAAGCACCAAGTGTCTCTAGGCAACACTTAAAGTACTACACAGCGAGCAGGTACTTGTACAGGTACGTCATTAGGCACCCCAGCCCCACAAGCTACTGCTAGGCGTCCCCAGTGTCTAGGCACTTGCCCCTACGGGGCAGCGGTTCATTTAAGTTCGGCCCAATTACTAGCACAGGTGCTCCCTCAACCTCCCTTCCTCCCTGCCATGCCGCCAATTCTGGCCTCCCAACCCGCATTTACGAGTAGTAACCCTCTGCCACTACCATGGCTTCCATGGCTGATGCGCTGCTCCCCCTCCAGCACATGCGGGAACTCGGCGGATCTTCGCCAGGCACAAACCCACACGGAGCTTGAAACTTCCACACTCAACCAAACTGGCGACTTGAATTCCATCCAGATCTCCTCCCCCCAAAGCTGTGCGCGTACGCGGCCTTCTTCTCCTCTTGACCTCGCATCGAGTGAGACGAGCAACTCTTCTAGAATGATGCTGCTGGTCTATAGTTCCCCAGGAACTGCTCGCCTGGTTCGCCGAGGCTAAGAGCATTTGAACTGCCGGTCCGCGAAACCCTTTGACTCCACGTTGACCCGCGATGGCCGATGACCACCAAAGCCCCTCGGCCCCCATGAAGCGAGTGTCGAGAGCATGCACCTTCTGTCGCGCCCGCAAATCCAGATGTGAATTGTAAGCGATCCGTTTATTTTTCTGCTTCGACGTTGTCTGCGCGTCAGTTTCCATGGTCCAACAATAAGAAAAGGACAGGTGGGACCTCTGTCTGCGTCTTTGCGGTCGGCCTGTGTTCCATCGATTCGTTTGGGTCCGGCTATCTGGAAACCTCTCACAAGCTGCAATAGCCGCCTGTCGGCAACCTCCCAAATAGACCATCAAACTCGTATCGACTTCTGTCCGCGCCAGTCATTGACCCTGATTGATCGTGCAGGGAAGCTTCAGGCGGCCAACCCCCATGCGCAAGATGCAAGAAAGAAAATCGCGAGTGCATCCTGGGGACCTCAAACCGTGGCGGAAGCCGAGTGAGGAAGAAGTTACTTTCCACCACCAGTCTCTCTGGCCTATCCAACCCGCCGACCTTGACGCCCCTTCTCGAGACCGATCCCCATGCCGACACCAGCTCTAGATCCCATTTGCGACCTCCTCCATTTCTGCGACCCTCCCCTCTCCTCGATCGATCCACGACTGCAGGCTCGGGAAGTGGTGTGGGAGGAATAGCCACTGGTACCAACGCGGCCGACGACGACGACTCGGTATCGACGACAGACAGCACAATTGGAGACACTATACCTAGAAATCCATCAGATGCATGGCAATTATTGAAAGATGTGGCAAACCGGGAGGCAGATCAGTTACACGCGAAAGGAGGAATAAGCCATCAGGATGATCTATCGAATCAAGATATGCAGAATGGATCGAGGCCAGAAGCCAGAGGGTCCATCAATGGCATTCACGCTGGAATCTCGACGTATCGACTGGTCCGTGAAGGCTACCTTACGCCCGAGATAATACAAATGCTAGTAAGACGATTTGCCGAGCACTATCACCCGTACCTTCCCTTGGTCCCGCGCAAATACTTTGATCCTGCTCAACTGGATGTCTTCGCGGTCAACGACAAACACCTGTTGACGGCCGTTATCACCATCTCGTCTAAGGACCTTATCGAACAGCCGACGATTCATACCTGCTGCTCTCGTTACATGCATGACCTGATATCGGGAATTGCGGCTGGCCATGATTGCGATGTCGAGGCAGTCGAGGCACTGCTGTTGCTCGCCGAGTGGGAACCGCAAGGCTTGCGAAATCGGATCGAGGCCGTGGGCAGAGGTGAGGAGGATCGGTCAGCCTGGATGCATGTTGGTATGGCTCTTCGAACAGGCTATTTCCTCGGCCTCGACCGAACCTCATTTCGACAAGAAACCGCCGAGGAAGCGAGGATCGACGGTCGCAAACGTCTAGCTTGGGCCAATTGCTACGTCTCAGACCGATTGATATCGGTGAGGATTGGAAAGGCATTCTGGTCCAGAGGACCTGGGCCCATGACTGGCCTTTCCTCCCAAGACTTTCCCTCGTTACAACCATTGAACCCTGGGGACGAAGATTATGCCAAAATAATGCAAGCAACCTTGGATCTCACTCAGCTCTACTCCAATGTACACGACGTGCTCTACTCGGGCATGCGCACCAGCGGACAGATGATGCTCATGGGAGACTATGTCAAGTATGTCGACGATTTCCGGGCGGCTATTGCGCGCTGGAATACGACATGGGGTAAACTGGAGTGCTCCCCGTATATCAAGGTCACGCTGCAGATGGCGTACGAATATCTGTGTTTGTACACCAACGCGTTTGCCTTCCAAGCGGCAATTGCTCAAGCAATTGCCAGCAAACCCAAGAGTGACGCCCATTCACTGAGGGACCATCTCCGAAGTGTGTTCTGTAATGTTGGTGCGATGCCCGACGCACGTTTCATCTGGGCCAGTGTGGCAGCAGCGAAAGCCTACCTGACGCTTCTCAGCACACAAGTGGACCCGAGCAAGTACCTGCGATACATGCCGCTGAGGTATTACCTGTACTGCATTTATTCCGCCGTCTTCTTGTACAAGGCTCGCTCGTTTGGGGTGATGACGGACATGGAAGAACGGCAAGTTCGACAACTGGTGTTTCAGACTATGGAAGTCCTCAAGCGAGCATCTGTATCTGCTCAGGATCCGGGATCCCGCTACGCAAGGTTATTGGAACTGCTCTGGATCAAACCGCAGAAGGCACCCTCGCAATTGCCTCCTCCGATGCAATCTCCCGCAGCATCCGAGGGTCCATTGTCGTCGAGTGGCAGTGTTCATGTCGACGCTCAAGGGTATATGCAATTCAGTCCGGCTAATGACTTCTCGTGGCTGGACCTCGAGGCAGTCGGCGATTACGTCTCTGGCGACCCGATGACAGGCAATGGGATGAACATGCTTGCTCCGATGATGGGGTTCGAGTCAACGTCGAATTTCATGCCTCAGTCGCAGGCTCAAGGGATGCAGTGGCAGCAGACCAACAACTCGATGAATTGGCCAGTGGACTGGAATGGCAACTTGTTCTTCTGAGTTCTTCTCCCACCTGTGTGGAGTTGGCCCCCATGCACAACTGCGCTGTTCTATCCGCTTCAGGCTAATGTCGGCGTTTGGGGGCAGACGCCGACGCGTGGGTGGCACTTGGACTTCCCCGCACCATCCACCACGATCTGCCCGACTGATTCGGCGCAGTCGCCGCGGCTGCAACACTTCGTCCTTCTGTGGAGGATCATTGAGCGCTCACGAGCCCAGCTTCGTATCCAGGGATGAGTACAAGACAGCGACTGTCTCAATTGACTTCTCACACCAACAATTCGCAGACATCAGGACTAAGTCGAGCTTCTCCCAGCATGTCCGTCGACAACGAAATCAAAGGCAGGCTCGCTCTGATTACGGGTGCATCAGGAGGGTATGTCGCAGCCTGCATTTTTTGAGGCTTTGCGTCCACCTTGACTGACAAGAACAGAATCGGTGCTGGCTGCGCACGAGACCTTTACCGGAACGGCTGCCACCTCGCTCTCACATATTCGAAAAACAAGGCCAATGTCGACAACCTGATCACCGAGCTGCAGGGCGACTCAGCCTCCTCCGAACTGAAGATCTCCTCACACCAAGTGGATATGGCATCGACAGAAGACATGGAAAGACTATACAAAGAGATTGAGTCACAACATGGCCATGGTCCTGACATTCTGGTCGCCAATGCAGGATATGGGAAGCGAGTGCCTCAAATAGTGGACATCACATACGAAGAGTTCGACTATACGATCCTGATAAACCTGCGCGCACCTTTTGTTCTTGCCAAATTAGCCGTTCCACACATGGCACAGCAGAAATGGGGACGCATCATCATGATGTCGAGCATAGCTGGCTATGGGGGTGGCATCAACGGCTGCCACTATGCCGCCTCAAAAGCCGGCCTGACAGGGATGATGAAGAATCTAGCCATTAAGCTCGCCAAGGACGGGATCACGGTGAACGATGTCGCCCCTGCCATGATAGGCGAGACAGGAATGATTCCTGACGCGAAGTTCCTCGAGGGCACACCTGGAGATGTGAGGAACATTCCGGTGGGCAGGCTGGGCACGCCGCAGGAGTGTGCGAATGTGGTAACCATGCTGTGCAGGACGGGGTATTTGACTGGGCAGAGTATCTTGTTGAGTGGAGGATTGAAATGAGTGTAGCGACCAAGTATTGATGTACTTTTGAAGAACTCATCTGAGACTAGAATATTTTCAGTGCTCAACCGCAGTGGGGAGCTGTATGGATCTAGGGACATGGATACATATCCGTCCCGCCCTCGAGCCTTGTCTGAGAGGCTACGAGCGGTTATGCAGGGCAATTTTACCTTTGTCCCTCCCCCTACCAGAAAAAGAGGAGTAGAAACCCTTTCCTCTTTTTTTCTTCCAAAAAATATACACAGTTTCCGCCCACGATTTCCGTGACGCCCAATTTGATCCATTTCGATCGGAATGACTGGGTCCATCACCACCTTTTGTTTGTCCTCCGTATCAACCAAGACCATTCCTGTATCTAAGGGGGTAGAAACTACCTCGACCCAGGCCTGATGATGGGTCCTTTCCCGCCAACTCTGGCGGGGCTAGTGCCAGCGCCGGTGGTGGTGCCATCGTGCTCGACCCCCTCCTGCGCAGCCCCGCCAGGCATGGCGTCCTTCCTGGTATCGGTGCCGGCAAAGACCCTCTTGGCCGCGGTCGTGGAGGTCGTCGACTTTGATTTGGACTTTTGCGTCGTGGTGCCCACGTACGTCCTGCTCTTCTGGGCGTCGCGCACCACGGCGGTGGCGCCTTCGGTCTCGGACGTCGTCGAGCTGATTTCCACGTTTGCCGGGCTGACTTCGAGGGGGTTGAACGGCGCGTTTGACGGCGGTGTCGGCGCCTCGTTCGACGTCCCTGTGGTAGTTGTTTTTGTGGCGGCGCTGGTCGAGTTCTGGATCTGGATCTGCTGCCCCGCCGCCGCCTGGGCGATGGACCGCGCCGGGTCCGCGGTCGCGGTGCTGTCGGGCGAAAAGGACACGGGCTGCGACGCCACGGCGTCGTCCGTCCCGGATTTGCTGTACTCGCTCGGTTGGCGGTCGATGCGGGTCCGGTCCTGTTGCGCGGAGCGCTGCGATTGGATGTCTTGCTGGCATTGCGTTGTAGAGGCGGAGGTAGTAGAGGAGGATTGATGGCGGATGCTGGCACAAGGCCAAGTCCGAGAATATGCGATGGTTTGTGCACGAGGTGTACCTCTAGGGTTAGGTCTAGTATGGATGGTGGTACTCCTCCTCGTTAGACTCGAGGCGGAGAGGCGGAGAGGGTTCATGGTTCTTGGGTGTCTCGTTGGTGCTGTGCAGTAGTCTAGTATTCTCGACTGATGGGACGGAGTGGTGTGTAATCCAATGTATTCGGTTTGGATTGGTTTTGAATCGCGAATGAGTTTTGGTCCCAACTCACAGTCAGAGTGTGCACATAGAGTAGATCATAAGACTCACCCAGGGTACAAAGGGCAGGGCATGTACTGGTATATATGTCTAGCGGAGGTAAGTATAGGATCGGCATTGGTGATTGGCCCCCCGGTCAACCTGTTGAGTATTTTTCTGATATCATCCTGACGTGGGTGGCCAAAGTTGTGCCTGACACCCGATTCCATTCCCATCCACCCCCGGATTTCATTCCCCTCGTCTTACAACCTCTAAGAATCGTCGGATTTAGCCCCCATCCACCTCGTACAGCCTTCCCCGCGCCTGGCCACTAGAGGATCGCCATGTGTCGCCTCCACCTTCCGGGGTCGCCTTGCACCAGAAGGACAGCGCCCAACACGAGATATTCAGCCTCACCAGGCAGACTTTCGACAGGTCTCTCGCCGTACTTCACCTCAGAGTCCATCCAGGTAATCTCCCCCTGGTGGACGAGGCTTGACCTCTGTTGGAATCGCATCCTTCTGCCGATTGTCAGGACTGAAACAGAATGTCTGACCCTCTCTCAGCAACAAGCAGTGTGATAGGCGTCGTCTCATTAGGCCTGGTCGTCTGCCAGGGCTTGGTTACCTACTTTTCGACCTACAAAGGTCAAAACCAATATCTAGACAGTCTCACCCAAAGAGCCGAAAACCTCCAAGGGTGTCTCACCTTGTTACAACATGCTCTCCCACTATGGACGGTGCGGTTTTCCGACACAGCCCCCCACATCGAACAGCATATCACCGCGTGCCAGGCCAGCATCGTGGTTTTGAGCAGTAAGCTTTCTGGATTCAAGCGGACGCCAGGACCTTCGTTGCACAGAGACAAACTGCGCTATGTCGCACACAAGGCAGCCTTTCCATTCACAAAGGCCACCATCACAGAGCTGTCGGGCATACTTGACGGCTTGCAGGAAAACTTGCACACGGTCCTCTGCATTGTCGGGCTGTAAGTCCAAATTAAAAAACACCCCATTCACTCCCGGCACTGACGACCACAAAGGGAAGCATCCTCCATCCTAGTCAAGACCCAGGATGTGACAAACACAAAGATTGATGCCGTTTTATCAGCTTCGGGCGTCATGACTGCTCGCATCCAGAGCGCTAGCCATGACCTCTCGTGTCTGCGGGCTGAAATGTCGACGATCCAAAACGACCTTCAAGCAGTGAAATCAATTCTTGGACCAGGCGTGCCTACACTTATTCAGCGGACTGATGGCCCGAGTCCGAATGCAAACCCCCAGAACTGGCAGCAAGGAGGTTTGGAAATACGGAAGGTTCAATCTCAGCACCTCCCAACACTAACTTCTCCCACCGGAACTTCTCTTCATGCCTTGCCCGGACGTCCGACTTGTTCAACCACACACACCTCAGAATGGTCCAATTCCTACATCTGTCTATGCCTTAGGACCATAACTCGTCGACCCACTAGGTCCAAGATGCTGTTCGTCGACTATTTCCAAACCCAGGAGCATGAAGAAGATTGCCCTTACTATCTTCCAGGCGCCAAGAGGAGAAAAATGGACATCTGGATATCCTTTCGCTCGGTGCTGATCTCTCGTGGTGTTCGATGCATGGTGTCCTTGGCCACTGGCTCGGCTGGAGGAATCAGTGCAAACATTGACTGGATTCCAGTTGTTTCCTCTGAGACTTCTCCTGCTATACGAGTAATAGAAGAAGTGTATGGAATGCTTAAATATAGTGTAGAGCCGAATGTTCTTGTGGATAATGCCCGTGTTGAACTGATGGGCCTCTTCGCACAACGGAGAGCACATCCGAGAGAGGTCGATCAATTTGGACATAGTCTCCTGTGGGTGAGTGTATTCATGGCCAACGCGATCAACCCCTTGCTAAATGCCAGCGCAGTATGCAAGCTTCCTAGCCGCTTGGCTAGCATGTCGGAGACAAGGTACGAACTACGACCTTTTTTTGGCATTTTCCAATACCTCTCTGTCGCCTAGGAGCAACGAGATCACTTGTTTCGAGAGATTTCGCATTCAGATTCGAGGTTAGAAATATTCGCATTTGTACTGATCATTTTTGCGCCTCCGAAACAGACGCGGCCTTTCAATCTTTTTGCCGCCTCTTATACTCGCTTGCCTCTTTGGGTGCCAAAGCAAACCTTGAAGACGTTATTGAGTAAGCCAGCGGATTTCTTCCCCGTGTCCTACAAACCTTGCCTGAGAATGTATGCAGTGGATTCACGCTGTTAGGCGGTGCGAGCGCAGAGTTTGGGGCGCTCACGGAAGATTTGAGCCAGAGGGGAGCTCTCGAAAATCCATCGGACAAGGGCAAAATAACAGCGGTCTACAAGCTGGTTGACTGTCCACAGTGGTACCATGGTATGCTGCTCAAGACATGATTATTGAGAATATGATAAATTGCTAACGTTTCAGTGCTGGAAAACGGACCATTGGGCCAGGCGATTCTGCGACGAAACCCAGAAGAGGCCATTCGCCTGCTCCAGCAAAAACCATCTCTTATTGGAGAGTTGAATGATTGGGGCCACTCCCTTTTGCACCTCAGTATCGACTGGCCCCTAGGTCTGGTTATCCTTCTCAAATATGGAGGTTCTTCATTGATCAATGTGGAGGACAACTCTGGAGCTAAACCAGTGCGGCTAGCGTTGAAGAGCTCAGGGATTGCAACCATGATATTGATAGCGGCAGGATCTGGGCTTGATGACAATGCTCTTGAGGACGTCATGTTTACGAGCCCCGAGGGGGTTTCGCAAGAACTCTTTGATGTTGCCGTCGAGGGACTTGTTTACCGAAGAAAGCAGCTTCAGCGAATAGCAGAGTCGTATTTGCCTCAATACAGGCGCTCATTCGCCGCCGACGCACTCAAAGTTTTGGATGAGCAGGCCGTTGAGGTGTCCACTGCACTTGAAGAGTCTGGGATCAGGATTCCAGGAGTTCTGTCCATTCCCAAGCAACAGAAAACCATATATCACATCGGAGAACTTTCTGCTAGAGATGCGCAGCGATTTTTCAACAATGGCTTCGAGGATATTGACGGGCGTGACTACCGAGGCTATACGCCTCTTATGGGGAGACATTGGTGGCGCGACGGACCTCTGGCCCTCCAATATGCTCAATGGCTCTATGATCGCGGCGCCAATTTGCTTTGCCAATTTCCTACATGCACGAACAACAACTGCGCAGAGACAGGTGAGCATCAGAGGCCACCTGCGCTCAGAGCAATCCATACGGTAGCATTCCAGCTCGGGCGGACACTCTTCCACTCCCGGTGGAATGTGTTGGACTTCTTAAATTCTACTTGTGCGACAGATTGTTTCGAGCTTCTTTCGACTATTGTCTCCTCCAATGTGTCCGACGGCTGTTCCTGTGCTTGTTCTAGCCAAGGATGTATTCCGGTTCTGAATTTATTGAGCAATCCCAGTCCAATTAATGGGCCTCGAAGCTATTGGTTCTTGCGGTGGCTGGACTTATATTTCCCGTATGATTTTCCTCGACTGTTTCTGAAAGTTCTGAGACTGTACACTTTTGAGAGTCTCGGCTTGAGGCACACCTGTTGCCGAAATGGCTGTCATCGGCACTATGATGGGTGTTATTACCCCTCCGAAAAACCCTGCCCGTTTTCGATCCCTGTTGATGACGAGATTCAAGAGATTCAGGACGAAGAAAGACATCTGATATCTCTTCTTGAATCACTTATGGTGGAGTTCACGGAACAGTGGCTATGGCCGACGTCAGACTGGAAGGTGGACGAGTTCATGTCTAAGGTTTGGCGGCCTAGGTTGAGACAGATTCGACAAGAAAGAGCACAAATGTCCGCGGGAGACCAGGCCCAAATGCGACGCATGGGCGTTGAGGTGCATTACGTCGACGAGAACTCTTTGACTGAGGATGGAGATGAAGATGATCGCTATGCTGAAGATGACCCTAGCACATATGAGGGGGTTTACTGGGATGGATCGCCTCCGCGAGACACAGCAGCCGAGATTGCAGCTGAGAATGCAGCCAGGAATGCAGCCCGAAAAGTGCAGTCCGAAAAAGACCTTGGAGAGATTAGAGCCTTCTTCACCGACTCCGAAGTCGCGGAAATCCTCAAGGAAGCTGCGCGAGAAAATGGTCTCGAAGACTACGACATATGGTTCAGCATAGTTGAAAAGCTTGATGCGCGGCAAAACGAGAGAGTTTAATTTGCAGAGTCCATCGTCGCGACGACTTGACGTATATTAGGACGAGCTTCGACACGTCCTTGTGACGACCGTGGGCAACGCAGAGAAGAGGCGATCGAGGGCATGTCATTGTCTGAATGAACAGCCGAATTCCAGTATATGGAGCAGCAAGGAAGATTGGAAATGCTTTCAAGGCCGATTAGGAGTTGGCGAACGTATTGATGTTCAACCTGATGAGGATGGTCGGCGTCCTTCGTATATGGACCCTGTCCTCTCACGACTTTCGATGATGCAGGTCTGAGATGGGTCGACGGACGGACAGACAAGTCCCTTTCCTTTCGTCTGGAACACGGCATGGCACATTTACAGATATAGAGGGGAAAAGGTGTAGTGAATCATGAATGATGAACTCTTTGCAGATGAACAGCTTCAGAGATATTCTGCTTTCTGCGTGCATATCAGATACCTGTCGCCGTTTGTCTTTGGCTCTTCTTCTTCTGCTGCCTCTCGTTCCCTACAAGGAGGGCCTGCTTGATCTCCCTAGCCTGACCTAGTTTTACCTGACCTTTCATCATGGCGCTGTGCCGTGATATGCTGTGCTTTGCTTTACTAGCGTGAGCTCCGTCCCCTAAAACCTCGTTGCGGCCAACCTTGTCGCCTTCACATGTTACTTAGCACGGTGTAGCTACTGTTCAGCAAGACCTCTCAAAACGTCCAGACTGGGGAATGATTCCTGGGACCAGCGTTAAGCGTCACGTTTTACACCGAGGTAGATGCCCTCCGTCCTCTGATATTCTGAGAGGTCTCTCTACTTGCACACAAAATAATTCTCCTGCAGCGCGTCGTGCAGGCGACCAAACACGCCGCCGTGCCAGGTCTTGAAATCGTCAAACTCCTCGCGCGGCATGGTAGCTGAGAGCATATTCAGCCAGCCACCCACGATCAGGTCGGCGTAGTTTGCCTTGTCGCCCTCGAGGTAGGGCCCGGTGTCGTGGACCGCGAACCGCTGGGCCAGCGAGGTCAGGGCGACGTTGAACCCGGCCAGGAACTGCGCGCGCGCCTCGCCCTCGATGCGGATGTCGTCCCACGAGCTGAGGTGGGCGCGCTTGGCGAAGAGGGCCTTGGTGGCCTCGGCCGTGTCCGGGTTGAAGGGGAGCTGGTGGGCGACCAGCACGACGTGGGCCGAAAAGGTCGCGTCGACGTGCACGTTGAAGGTGGCGTACGCCTCGTTCTTGGCCCCCTTGCGCGTCGTCAGCGGCGCGTAGAAGGCCGTGTCCTTGAACGGGCTCTCGTAGTCGAGCCCCGTGCCCGTCGTGTCCGCGGGAAATAGACACCCGCCTGACTGTGGGAACGTGTCTTCGAGGTAGTTGGCGATGTCGAACGAGTCTCCTACTACCTTGCCCGAAACCGGCTCCCGCAGCATGGGAAGCGTGTAGAAGTCGGTGCCGTCGTCGAACTGCCGGACCGCCGCGCAGCCGAGCCCCTTCCGCACGTCGGCGATGTCGAGGATGTCGACCCACGTCGTGGTGAAGGGGACGCCCTTGAAGCTGAGCGCGAGTCGGGACTTGGAAGGGTTGGGTGCGTAGGAGCGCGGTTGGCGGGTGGAAGAGATGTCGTAGAGGACGAGGGGGTTTGAGTCTGTCATTTTGGAGGCGAGGCGAGGTGAGGCGTTGAGAGATCTGAAGTTGTCTGCGTTCCCTTATTCCATGAGGTCGATAAAGCATTTACTCTGCATGGCCAACAAATGCCGAGTAAATTCTTGGCATTGAACCCTTGACCAATCAGAGGGAGAACTACCTAGGTACAACCTTCTCACTAGTGCCCTCGAGGCGACCTTCTACAACTCCTTTATCTCTATCTTTCAGGACAGTCTCCTACTCCGATACTTTCTAAGTCTAGTACAGTGTAGCTAAGGTCCTAGACGATATCTTTATTAGTTTAAATCATCTTTATAGGTTTGCCTGCGGGTGAGAACCGTTGCCAAGACTTTATCTAGAATCATTGGTCACGTGGGGGATATTAGAGCAAAGCAGCATGTGGACTAACTCCAAAGAAGCAATATGCCCTTGCCGCTCGAAATGAAGCCTGGCAGCCTGGTTACACAAGATCCGACTGTCATCAGGCTGGATTTCGAACCAACACCTCTTCCTTCCTAATCATCAACCATGCACGCCATGCTTGTTGTTGTTCTGCCTCTTCATCAAATTTCGATCGCAACGAAAGCTGGACATCCCCCTTCATCAATCCTGTGAGCACCCCGATCGCCGCTGGGGTCCCCAGCCCTGCCGCCTGCCTGCCCAGCAGCCTCATCTTCACAACTTTCCCCTGGCCAGATAATTGCAATCTTCAGACAATTCCACAACACTTGAGATTCTGATGCTATATTCACTCAACTCCTTGACGTCGGCGGCAAAGATTTGACAACATGGCGTTGGCCTTCCGCTTCTTTCCTCCCCCAAAGCCAGAGATCAGACTGGCCCAGGCGGTCTGCAAGTATGAAGCTATTCTGCAGGCCAGCGAAAAGGCAGTCTTCCGCTCACTGCGTTCAGACAGGCCGCCCGGTTTATCTGATGTGATGGAAACCACTGCTGCTGTTGACCGCAGTATAAAAAGTCGCCGTTGCTTCGGTCCCCGCCTCACTAGCATTTTAGAGTCGGTTCAACAGTTCTCGACAATAGTCGACGCTGTTGTTGGCAGCTCTCGGTATACACTTGCAAACGCAATCTGGAGCGTCTTAAGGACGACTTTGCTAATCACGTCAACATTTGGAGCGTATTTCGACAGATTATCTGCCCTGTTCATGAGGATTGGAATACACTGCCCCCGATACCAGGAATGGGGTCTGCTATGTTCGATTTACTCCCCAATACAAGATGACCTCTCTGAGTACTTCTGCGCAATCGTCGATCTGTGCATAAAGGCCGTTCTCTTCGTCCGAAAACCTCCCATTACTCATTTGACATCAGCCCTTCTCAACAGTTTTCGAACCGAGTTTGACCCTCTGGAAGCTGAGATTGCAAAGTTGGCGAAGCCGTACTGGAGGCAGCTGGAAGCTCAAAAAGAGGCACTAGATAGCAGCAATATGGGCTGGACTTTTCTAGATCCTCTTTTAGAGGCGCAGGTGGCGCGCCGGAAAAAGCTGCAATTCCTTGATGCTTGTTCAACCTTCGACCAATATAGGTCATGGAAGCAAGCACAAAAATTGGGGATATGCTCTTGGATCTTCGACCAACCTGCTTATAAGCAGTGGACTCAAGAATCGTCCTCGGGCGTGCTGTGGTGTACCGGCGGGCCCGGATCGGGCAAAACGGTATCCACCGCAAATTTAGTGCGACAATTGCATATCGACAATCCTGAAGCCATTATCGGCTTCTTCTTCTGCAGCTACGATGACGCAAAATCGATGAAGGCTAGGACCATCCTTGGTAGCCTGGCGAGGCAGCTTCTGAGAAAGACACGCCCAGAGCCCTTTGAGTCGATTGAGATTGATGGTTCGAAGACATTGGATGAGGACGAGATTATTTCGAACCTGGTTCCTCTGCTCGCATCCACGAGTTGCACATACTTTGCTGTCGTCGATGGAATAGACGACTGTGCCGAGGGGGAATTATGTAGGCTTTTACGAAGCCTCCACACCTTGCTCCACTCAATACACCGCTTCCGCATATTCTGCTCAAGTCAGCCCGATACAAAACGCAGATATCAGGCTATACTTCAACCGCAACACGAACTTTGGTTGTCATCTCCAAAGTACGAAATCGACAGTTATATTGACAACGCGTTGCAAGAACATCTTGAACTAGGTAGCCTCGCTTTGGATGACCCGAGCATTATCCTAGAGATTAGGAAGGCTCTACTCGAAGGAAGCAAGGGAACGTGGGTATTTAGTTCCATACATAAAAGATTGTGCTGATCATGATAGGTTTCTTTGGACTGCACTACAGCTCGACTCTATATGCGCCGAGGCGTCGGATGGGGGGATTCTGACTGCTCTTCAGTCGTTACCGAAAGACTTACCACGTGTTTTTGAACACATTTTGCAAAAGGTATCTGAAAAGTATCCCGAATTCGTCCAGATTACACGGAAAACCTTCACCCTTGTTGCCGCAGCTCAGCGGCCACTGACAGTCCAGGAACTCCGCGAGGCTGTGAGCATTTTGCCGGGAGACACGCGGGGTCCCGGATTGCCGCACGACATGAGAAGTGTCTTGGGTAAATGCGGAGGCCTGCTCATTGTTGACGAGGAAGATGACACTGTTCGATTTGCTCACCCTAGTGTCCGACAGTATCTTACCTTCACTTCCGAAGGCGCAACAAAAAGCCAGTTCCATGTGGATTTACGTGAAGCGGATATCACCATGGGTGAGATCTGCGTCACCTATCTCGAACCATTCTTTCTCAAAAGTGGACAAGCCAAGAGCGACAGTCGTGGGTGGATAGAGTCATCTGCAACAGCTTCTACTGTTTTTCGCCCTGGCCTGCCCTCTACAACAGGCGCCCAGCATTCGCAGACACTTTTGAAACCTAACAGGAAGCCAAACTTCGATGCGGAGCCTTACCATGAAGGAGCAGATGGGTATGCAATCCCTGAGCGAGAACTGTGGACGCATGCGTTTCTTCCTTATGCAAGCGAATTCTGGTTGTTTCACACAAAAGCCTTCGAAGAAAACCTGCAAGTCTCGTACCGCTTGTGGTTACGACTAATACGGTTCGAAAACCAGCAAGTCACACTCCCCTGGTCACGTGGAGCGTGGCATCATCGAGCCAAAAGTCTTCTCGAATGGACGGTCGATAATGAACAAGGCGCCATCCTCAATCTCATCATCACAAAACTCAAAACATATTCAGAGGTTGAGCGTGTGTGGCAGGTGCTACTTGCGAAAGGGGTGTACCTCGGATCAGACGGCCTACATGGTAGCGCCACATTGCAGCGAGCTGTCAGTTCTATAACTGCCAAAATAGTACCAGTATTGTTCGAACGTATGGTCGAACGTCCCACGACCATGGACCCTCGAAGTGCT